CAGACCTCTCAAGGAACAACCTGCCTTCTCGTGCAAAACCCGCCAGGCGTGCAGGAGCTCCATCCATCACCTCATCTTCGCGATTTCCTTGTCCCCACTGCTCCCGGCTGTTTGGCTCCCCTCAAGCGGTCGGCGGGCATCAGAATGCTCACAAACACGAGCGAGCAGATCAGCGAACCTTTCCGGCCACTCATCAGCAGCAATACCAAGCAGCTGTGCTTTTTAACGTGTGGCCGGAACACATCCAGCCGCGCATAATCTCATCTCCGCTATTTCCTTGTCCCCACTGCTCCAGGCTCTTTGACTCCGCTCAAGCGCTCGGCGGGCACCAGAACGCTCACAAACACGAGCGTGCAGCTCAGCGAACCTCTTCGGCCACCCACCAGCAGCAATACCATCCACTTGCTCTGTTCCCCGCTGATCAACATCAACAACACACCTCATCGACACCATTTCCCCACTCTCCGGCCATTTCCACTACTACTCCCGACGCTCTCTCCCCTACCACGGATGTGGATGATTCTTCTGCCGATGTTGACCTCGCCCGCCGCCTGTGAAGCAACGCGTTTCTCTTTCTCTTAATTTCTTTCTTTTTTGTTTTTGAAAGGAAGTGGAATAAGTTAATGGGTTTTGATGAGAATGAAAGTGGTTAGGGCTAATGGGATTCTTGAATCTCTTGTTTGGTGTTCGTTTCCGTATGTTTTTTGGGGTTTCAACCTTTTTTTTTTCTGTTTTCCTCATCTTACTAAAATTAAAGCGCAAGGTGATGATGATGATGAACGTTAGTTCCCTTAGCTTTGTTCTTATATATGAAAGTAGTTATTAAGTAGCATTGTATGATATATAGATTCGATCGGTCTTGATTATATATTATCTTCTTTCTCGATCTGTTGTATTTCAAACCTGCAGATTCCAACTTCTCTCTTGATTTCCATTTTTCCCTTTTTTTTCTTTTTTTGTTGAAGGAATGAAATAATTAAAATAAAAAATCATGAGTAGTTTTTGACAGTTTTATTAATCAAATGGGTTTTTGAGTTGAAGGATGAGAGTATGTGAATATTTTTTTTATTATTTTTGTTATCATGGCTGCCTAATGGATTATTTTACACCAATTACATGTCAAATAATTCGAATTTAAAATTTTTTATTTTTAATGAAAGAAAATTATCACTAAATAATTTAGATAATTGGCAATTATTTTCAAAAAAACATGAGAAAAGAAAAATATATATGGACCTTAATTTGCCCCATTAACTGATGAAATAAGTAAATTAATCCTTTATCGGCAGAGGGGCATAGTCATGCCTTTCTTCTTTTTTCTTTTTCTTTTTTTCTTTTTTCAGTGGTTTTAGTGGTCAGGATGTCCTCAATTCAGATTTTATGCACTTGGAGATTAACTTTTTTCTGATCTAATTAAAGGCCAGCTATCTATGTTAAGACTAAAAAATTCATAAAAAATTTCCTCTTCATTAGTCTCTTTAAAAATCAAACCTTACTTAGCAAATATGTATAATTGTAATTTTTTTCCTTAAAATATGATAAATGAACATTTTTGAACTTGTGTTATAAGAATAATAGTTATTATAGTGTGGTTTATGTCCTTAATTTTATCATATGACCTTGGCCTAACAATAGCACAACCATGTATATACATGAGATACTATAATTTCTACCAACAAGAGCTTAGTCAATACATTCTTTATTTTAAATTTGAGCAAATATAAGTATATCATCGCACTTGGCCCTTCGCGTGAAGTGGCATCCTACCATATTGAGGTGCATCCCTCCTCCCCCTTTGGATGGGTTCGAGGCCACCCCATGACAAATTGTTCAAAAAATATATATATAAGTATGTCATCATTCATATTTTATTTTATATCTTCCTTTTTACATATATATTTCAAATTATATCTGTTTTTTTTTTTTTAACTTGTAAGGCACATGTTTAAGGACACGTTGTTAATATTAATTGGCATTAAAAATTAAGAGTTGGCTTTTATTTAATCATTTGATTAATTAAAATAAATCATATAATATTTTTTTGTTATTTTCAATATAAATTAATATCAAAAAGATGTATAACTACATACTAAAGGCACAATTTGAAAAAGTCCTTCAAATTATTATCTATAATTTATAAGAAACAATCTTAAATCAATTTTTAGTGATGCCTAGAGTAGTTTAGCCCTCAATTACCATAAATCATCTTAGATTTGAGATGACACACAGTGTCAAAATTTTATGAGGTAATACTTTTGCAAACTCTAATTTAGAAAAGCTATAACTAGACCAAAAAGACTGAAATTTGCTAATTATAATGACCTTTTTTTAGAGTTCATATATAACTATTTTTATAGCTGTATCATATAATTTTTAGAAGAAATTATGCTTATTACAAATAAAAAAAAAAAAAGAAAAAGAAAAAATGATGCATGTTAAAGTTTTACTTGGTGTCAAGTTATGCGAGTACTTGTTAAGTTACACTCAAGAGATTCAACGCCACACAATACAAAGATTAAAGTTCAAAGGAAAGAACTTGAGAGTTGAAACCATGTGTGGCCTGGCACATTAACCAGGGTACAATATTCCTGTATGGATCTTCTCTTTTCTGCTTCAAGCAATGCAGCTCTCAACCTCAGACCTTATATGTAAATACAGTTGATAACATTTCTCCCTGTCTATCAGTTCTTGCTTTCTTCCTTTTATATGATAAGACCAAACAAACAGTTTTTAACATTTCAATTAAAGCTAGCCATGAGCCAAAGCATAAATAAAAAAATTACTCAATAAATTAATGTAAACTGACTATATATGTACATGCCTTGGGTTTCAATTAGTTCCCCAAAATAAAAATAATATCTTCCTGGAAACCTTGGTGCCAGTCATGGTTGGTAAAGTTGTTGGTTTGACACCTCGCCATCTCCTTCATTCCTATCATTTCAAGAGTCAGAAAGCTCATCAAATGGACATTGATTGCATTTTGTAATTTAAGAGTCGATCAGAATATATAACTCAATACCACAGCCTATTAATTCTGTCAAATCTTCTATAAAATCCCTAAAGTAAGGTATCTTCATTCGATCATTATAATAAAAATTACTTCAGCAAAATATCTGCCCCAACAACACCAAATGGTACTATTTTGGCTCCAAATCTAACAGCCATCATCACAAACTCTCGGACTTTTCTGGCCAAAATAACTTGTATGCTTCACCCTGGAAAAATTAATTAATCAACAATATGCCGAGCGACCTAGAGTTGAGTTATCACAGCTGCACAATACTATAGTTAAATATTCAATATGTTACCTTCCTGTGAAGAGCCTCACCCAACCCTCTAGGGAACAACAGGCTATGAGATTTTGAAGATACAAGCTTGTAGAAATTTGTTCCTGAAACAGGAACTGCCACCATTAATTGTATTGAGTCAGGTTGATACATCAGATAACCTGCTTCTCTCAATCTTTCAAACAACATTGGATGTGCTATCCCTCGCAAGAGGATAATTCTCTGAGTAGGAAATTCAGATACCAAGGGAATAACTTCTAGTCCCACTAACGTGTGATAACCAATGTACAGGACGGGTCCCTCCAATGGAACCCCAGCAAGACCCTTCGCCACCTTCCCATCCTTGGTAGTTGAGAGCATCACAGGGCTAAGAGCAGCATTTAACCATCCATCCAGGAACAAGTCAGTTGAGGAATCTAGAATCAAGACTTATATGTGATGGCACTGCAATTCAATTAAACATATATAAAATTCCTATGATGAGCACAATAAGTGTCAGGTTTGATTGTCATCAATATTCCACTAATTAATCTTTGATCTAATATGCTCTTCTTCTGGACACAACGATAAGCTCTCGTTATTCTGCACCCTACTCATGACAGAATACAACTGGTATGTCTATAGCCTTTTGGTACATGATTGACATATGCTTTGTCCAAAGATGCTTACCTATTTTATTCATATAACTTCTTGAATTCAGCAGGTGTAAGTGGCATGTAATCTGACAACAGTCATGGTATTTCCACAACAATAGAAGCTAGTTCCCTTGATGATTTTTACCAAATCAATACCATCTTCCTGCATGGGGGGCCAAAACAACTATTTTGTAACATCACAAAACCTTATAATCTAAGATGACAACTCGTGTAAAAATTAGGGCATAAAAGGGAAAAAAGTGAAACTTCAAATGCTCAAAAGAACACCCTCCTCCTCTCAAGACCAACAGTTTGAGAGAGACATACCAGGAAGAGAAAATGGTGGCTTTCATCAAACTTACAAATGTCATAATTTGGGAGTGCATGGCGTAGTCTTTCACTTTCCTCTTCGCTTGGAAACAATTGATCTCTTCCACTAGAAAACAAATGGTTAATTCAACCAAAGATGATTATGAGGATCATGAACTTCAAACTTGGACAGGTCAACCGTGTTGCAGTGCTGCCCTAAACAGATGGCATTATAAGTTACATTACATTCATCTGAATGACAAGATGCTCTTCAACATAGTTTGTGACAGTGCACATATTTAGGACTGTGATGAAAAAAAATGCAAGTAAACATCTATTCTCTCATTGTAACAATAGAGCAGTAGGCATTATGCATTTAGGTTATGAAGAAATATTTTTCAATCTTTCTTGGTTTATAATCTTTGATTCTGCCATTTTCAGTTATGTTAGAAAACAGAAAAGAAGAATAATTTGAAGAAAGATTTATTGCTTTCTTGAATTATACTATATGTATAATGACCTATATATAGGTGTTTACAAATAAAATATTCTAAGATATAAAGTATAAAAAGAAAATATTTTAAAGTATAAAATATTTACAATAATTCTAAATATAATTGTATTCACATCTTAACAAGTTAACTGCTTCTTGCAATAATTGTGTTTTCCTAACTTCATTTTTCTGTTTGGTGCATTAGCCACTAAATAATAGCACACTCGAGAATATTGCAAAACTATAATTACGACGTCAAGAAATGCTGTTTGTAAAGAATTACAACAAATCTAGTTCTTACCTGGGTTAGACAAGATAAGTAGGAGATCAATATCCGGGTTACGGTTTGAAACAGCTAAAGCAAGGCATCCTCCAAGGGATTCCCCAACAAGATATATTGGTCTATTTGGGGACCTGGAGTACTCTGACCTAATTGTACTTTCAACAAGCTGCAATAGGCCTGAACCCATAAGAAACACAGAAAATTAAAACCAAAATTTGTATTAACAAACATGTTGCCGTACATGTACGTAGCCCACAACTACTCATCATTGGATACCTGTAAAAGATGTCCTGTCCTTGACTGGAATATGCAAGCACCAAATGTCAAAGATCCTTCATTTTCATTTAGGGAAAACGTTAGTAAGCACAAAACTAGCTGATCAACAAGTGTGAAGTCCAAATTAAAACAAAATCCTAATCCTAAATTAAAATTAATTTAAGAAAATAAATACATCTACCAGTAGATGAATTCATGAGTTAAAATTTCTGCTTACTTTCCTAATTTCTGGTGATGCATTAGAAGCCCAAGTCCGGTGCCATCAATTCCTGAGAATTTAATTATTTTAGTTTCTAATTGATGCAAATCAAAACTCATTTTCATGTCTCATGAATTCGAAGCTAGCTCCATTTGCTACACAAGGAAATTCTTAATTCCAGTTTGCAGAAAGAGGTTTGAATCCTTTGATTTTGATTGACGGAGGATGTATGAAGAATATATTAAAATGACAGAGAGAAAAAAAGGATGGTAGTGAGAAGAGAGAAGACAAAACAGAACAGGCAAAAAGAGAAGCAGGGGAGAATCGGGTGCCCTGCAGCCGCACTCCAAAGGAGAGAACCAGCGAGGCGGACCGCCGTCCGATCCGATAAACTCTTTGCAGGCCTCAAAGAAATCCTTGAGCGTCTTCCTACGGTAATTCGTCCATATTGGCATACACATTTGTCGTCGGTTCTTGTTCCTGAAATTTTCCAGTGTTCTGAGGAAGCGTTGACGTTGTTGAGTTGGGTTTATTTACCGTTGATGCCTGTTCCGACAACGTGGATACAGCGAATGCCCGAGTCCGGCTTTGCTTCAGTAATATTGGCCTAAACGATGTCATCATCTCCAGTTCCGGCCGGACACCGGCGAGTAACCGGTGGCAAACGCGCATACTCCAGTTGCTGCCATGGCCAGCATGAGTAATTAATGTAGAGTAATCCGCTCTCTCTCTAATATCAATGGCGGTGTGGAGAGATTTTTTTAAATTTTGTTTGTTTTGGTATATATGGAATAAGCATGCAAGGCAAGGCAAGGCAAGGCAAAGGCCAGCGCAGACTTGACTTTCTGTCCAATAATTTACTCAATTTATTAGTCCTTAATAGTCTCAGTCTTGTCAATTCTTTTTTATTTTGTCTCTTTCAATCACACCCATTGAGGTATAATTTAAATTTAAATTTTATTAAAATTATTATATAATTATTATTAAATATTTTAATATTTTTAAAAATTAAGAAATTTTATTTTCCCTTTAACTAAGTTAATGTATATTGTTGAATGGCATTTTTCATTTTATGTCTTAAAAAGGGCACACGTTAAATATATAATAAATATATATTTTAGCTAAATATAAAACGTATAAAATTGAATTTTAGTACAAATGATATGTGGATTAAAATAAGTCACATATTAAAGTGGCATTAATATTACAATTAATATCAGTC